TATAGGGACTGTTGTGGCTTATAGGTATCACTATAAGCCACAACAGTCAGTAAAGTGAACTTTTGCTAAAGTCAAAATTAATCCTGGGTCGGCACCACTTTTTCTAAAATATTTGAACGAATAATCTACAATTGATTATATGAATACCTAATTCAAAACAAATTTTTAAATGAAAAACAATACGACTTTCAAGCACAGCACTCAACAGAACATGCAATTTTAGATTTAGTTAATAGCATAAGTGATACTTTTAATAAAAAGCAATTTGTAGTAGGAACTTTTATAGACTTTTCCAAAGCATTTGACACAATTAATCATGATATTTTACTTAAAAAAATGGAAACATACAGAATAAAAAATAAAAGTCTAGATTAGTTTAAAAGTTATCTGTGCAACAGACAACAATGTGTAATTTCAAACAAAAATAAATATTATAATTTATTAAAAAAAAAATGCGGAGTTCGCCAAGGCTCCATTTTTGGTCCTTTTTTATTTTCAATTTATATTAACAATCTTCCACAATCACTAAAAAAACTCGATGCAATAATGTTTGCTGATGATACAAATTTATTTTATTTGTCAGCATTAATTGAAAATCTCTTTGAATCTGCAAACGATGACCTTGAGAGTCTAAACATTTGGTTTAAAGTAAATAAATTATCTTTAAATACAGAAAAAGCAAAATACATCTTGTTTGATTCCAACCAGCAAAAAAATAAAATATCAAGAATTCTACCATTATTAAAAATTGATAACATAAACATCGATAGAACTGAAACTATTAAATTTCTTGGGATTATCGACGAAACAATTTCTTGAAAAGCCCATATAAAAACATTTGATACAAAAATATCAAAAAGTATCGGAATACTTTACAAAGTCAAACCTATACTTTCCCAGGAGAAACTAAAAATTCTCTATTTTTCTTATATACAAAGTTTCCTAACATATACTAATATTGCCTGGGGAAGTACAAATAAATCTAAATTAAGTTCTCTATATATACACCAAAAACACGCATAAAGATTGATTTTTAATAAAAATAAATTCACTCATGCCGATCCTTTACATAAAAACTTGAATGCTTCAAATATCCATCAAATAACATCTACCAAAATATTTTATTTATGCTCAAATATAAGCTCGGACTTGTCCCAACTCATTTTACTAATAACATTTTTCAAACCAACGCCAACAGATATATCACACGAGGAACCAGAAACTTTATGTTGCTCATAAAAAAAATTTTTTTTTTCGAGATTTTCAACTGTACACCGTGGTTATTTATACAACAAAATAATACCTCAAAATGTAGAACTTACTAAATTGGATAATCTTATTGGCCTTAAGAAAAAACTAAATTATCTCATAATTAACAAAACCAATTTTATCGATATGTATTAAATATAAAAGAATTTATAATTTATAAATTTTATAAATATATAATTTATGAATATAAAAGAACAATTAATATAATTAAATGTAAAGAGAACAATATAAACTATAAAAATTAATAAAAAAATAAAAAAGAAATATAAACATAAGTTAAAAATAATAATAATAAATACATATAGTTAGCAACTATGCATAGTAAAATATAACTGAACAGATGACTTCAAAAAGTTAATGTGTGTTTTATAGATTTACTCTTTAAATTTTTAGTTTATTTTGTATTTTAAAGGTTCTCAATGAAAAGTCTTTTCTTAGTCTTCTGCGAGTTTTCTTACAACTATTTAGTACTATTAATATATAATATGTAGTTTCAACGACAACGACAACAAGTCCCTAGAAGCCCTGTAGTGCGACGAACTTGCGTATATTTTTTAAATGCATGGGTTAATAGCCAGCACTTTATATTATAAACTACGAATTTCTAAGTTTATTATTTTAACTCGATGTCAAACGCGCATGCGTAAAACAGTTTATGCTCTTTATATATTGTAAATATCTGTGGTGGACATTTATATAAACTGGAGACACGTAAATGTTATTTGTTTTTTAAATGTATAATAATAACTGTTGTAAAATGATGTTGACAAATATGAGCGGCTGCCTATGAAAATAACGCTAAACTTTCTTCCCCATTGGACACTAGGAAAAAGTGATTCCGGTTATATGCAGTTGGAACTATTTTATGAGTTCTTTGCAATTTCTTTTCACCCTTAGCTTTAAATAAATAGTATAACTCTTCCTTCTATTTTATTTGTCAACCGACATGTTTCCCATTTAAGTTCTACAAGCAAAATGGAATTATTTTAATTGCTTTATATCCTAATGCTACGCACATTCATAGCCTATGGATGTTGCAGTGTTTTGCACGTTAAAAGAGAATTGGAGACAACATATTCATGAGTGGTGCATCAATCATTTAGATGACCCCATCTTGAAGAAAAACAACTTTGCTAAACTGCGAAAAGAAATAGTTGATAAGCAAGTTACTAATTCTGTGTTGGCCAATAGTTTGAACTCTATCCCTAGGATCGCAAGTGTGAGTGTTTCACGTTTCAGTGAGATTGCAAGTGTGAGGGTTTCAGGACATAAAAATAACATTGCTGTGCGCAATGCTGTGCCAAATGACTATAAATGTAGTGTTGCCAGGTTGTCCATAGCTTAGCAATTTTTATCTAGATGAAAAAATGAAAGCAAATGAGAGGAAAAAAAAGTGAGCAAAAATTAAAGAATGGTATGAAGAGATTCAGATTCATCTATTTCTATTTCTGAGCTAAGCAATGGTGAAGATTCTGAATGGTATAAATATTCTTCAGATGAAGATTTAATAACTCTGGAAGCGGGTGACTTTTTAGTTGTAGAGTATAAATGCAGCCATATTCCGGGGAAAGTTGTGCAAGTTGTGGCTAATGGCTACAAGAAAACCACAGTGGTTCAGAGTGTAATTACTTCTTATTGTTAGCCAGATAAAGAAGATAAGCTTGAATATATAAGGGAGCAAATACGAAGGAAAATCAACTCTCCAAACTTGTGTTCTTAACGTGGAACATTCCTCATACCAGAAATGAAAATAAAATTTTTTATTTGTTGACACAAAAAATAAAATATAAAAATTAAAATGTTTTCTTTGTTTTATTCTCCACGTGGATCATTCCTTATACCAGAAATAAATGCTTATTGAACATTTTATTTTTTATAAAATGTTGTATTTGTGTTGCATCGCTTAAAAAATATACAACATGTCTTTAAAATTTTATATTAACTAAATTAAAATAAAAAAGTTATCACGGCTTTCATTTTTCTCTCATTTAACATATGGTCAACTACTAAAGCAAAAGACGGTCAAATAATGATTTTTTTTTTTTAGATGGTCAATTACTAACGTAAAATCATGCTTTAAAAAAACTGTTACTAACATGAAAAACATGAAAAAATTGTACTTTGTAAAATATTGCTTAACAGTATGCTAGATGATAGTAAGGTAAGTTCTTAAAATTATTAAGACTATATAAGTGGTAAATAATCTTAAAGATATGTCATACGTCATAACAACATTAAAAATATGACAGTCATACGTCATAACTACATTAAAGATAGCAGTCATACAAAATTTTTTCTCTTAAACGGTCAATTACTAGTACCATTGCCTTATTTTTTATATTTTCAAATGCAACTAAAAAATTTTTTTTTAATAAATAATTTGTGCTTTTGTATTTCCTGGAGTTTCCTATTGCATTAACTGCACAACAAACTGTTACCAATGTCCCTCTTTCTGCTGAAGTTATACTTCCAACTTGTTTATCTCCTTTTTTAGCAATTACTTTAACTGGTTTTAAAACAGTTTTGAGACCTGTCTCATCAACATTGTATATGTTTTGTGGCTGAAACTTGTGTCGTAGACGAACATCTTTTAGATTAGTGAAAAATTCTCCGACTGTATAACAATTAAAAGCAGTTGCTCGTGCCATACTAGTAGCTTATGGATTTCTTAAAGATAACTCATTCCTACGTAACACAAAACCACGAAGCCACTGTTTCCCAGCAATTTGTAAACTTTTCCACGATTTAAGAATGCGCTTAGAAAGAGTCATTGCAAATTCATAGGCAAGTTGTCGTGTTGTTTTGGTTGATAATCCATAGTGAAGTTTTGAAGCCCTTAAAAGATAATCTGATAAAGATGTTTCTTCTTTGTTAGTAAAGATTTGCATGGTAATGAAGTCAGGTTTGCAGACTGTATTTGGATTTAGTTTACATTTCCTTACATATCTCTTAAGTGTCATTAAATTGATTCCCCTCTCTTTAGATAAACGATAAACTGTACCACTATTAAGTACTGCATTAACAGCTGCTCGCATTTCATTCTCATTAACTTTACCTCTAGGTGGTCTATCGGTTTTTCTTTTTTTATGATAAAATATATTTAACTTTAAAAAAATGAAACATATTTATATAATTTTGATTTATTTTTAATTTTTGGACAAACATTTATAAAGATTTTTACTTACTAGAATCTTCTTTATTAACAAACACACACAGATATATATATATATATATATATATATATATATATATATATATATATATATATATATATATATATATATATATATATATATATATATATATATATATATATATATGTATATATATATATATATATATATATATATATATATTGAATACTCTAGAATTATATTATATAAAAGTTTTGGGAGAACCAAAAAATACAAAATAGTATAAAATCTTTATTTTAAGGCTTAATTTGAGAAAAAAAAAATATTTAAAAACAATATGACGTATTGTACATTTTGTGTGTGTGTGCATAAGCATAATTATTCAACTTAAAAAAATAAAAATGATGTGATCACATCTTTATTATTTTTTTACATGGGGGAGCTTTTAATATTCCAGAGTCTGGGATATTATATAACCAGGAAATAGTATATAACCAGGTTGGGATAGTATATAACCAGTCTTAGATAGTATATAACCAGGTTCCTTGTAAAAGTAAAAAAATTATTTTTTGTCGTCAAAATCAAACTACTTAGAAATAAATTTAATAGTGGTCTATTCTCTAACCAAAACACAATTAATTTTGAAGATACAATATTTATAACACACTTGTTATCAGCCCTCTTTAATAAGTTATGTAAGTATGGAGATAACGCTATAGGATCAAAGATGCATACGGATCAAGGCAAGTTCTCCCCTACTCCTTTTTGTTTTAATTTCAAAAGTTTAACACTTTTATTTTTACTATAAGAGATAAACTTTGATGTTTAAAATTGTTACTTTGCAAAATAAATATTTGTTTTTGGTCTTCGTTCCTATGACTTTAAATTATCTTATAACATTATTCAAGGTCTTAATAAATGTAAGTTATGACATAATATATTCAAAGTCTTAATAAATGTAACACAATATATTCAAAGTCTTAATAAATGTAAGTTAGAAATAAATACGGATAAAAATCGAAAAAACAAACTCTTATAAAAGTTTTAAAATACGAAGAAAATCTTCGAACCAGTTTTTGCATAAATATCAAATTTTCAATTCAATTTAAAAAAAACAGGATTGTTTAATAAATGGCAATAACTCATCGTTAATTCGAGTTTTCAATGCTGTTTGCGTTTCTAAAACCTTTATAAATTCCACTATGCTCTCTAAAGTTACCGATAAGTTTGAGGCTACCTCCTCTGGTTTTAAAAGCAGGGAATATAATTCCTTAGCAGCGGGAATATAATTCCTTAGCATCTAAAACTTGCTCCGCCTCTCCATCACTTGACACCCCTTTAAGTAAATTAAATGAAGGTACAAAATGGTGCGGTAATATTCTACTTTCGAAAGCAGAAATTAATGTCATTAGTAATACGTTCAGACACTCGCCAGCATTTTCCTCACGCCACCACGACTGATCAAAGTTTTCACTAACGTTTAGCATAACAGTTTTAACCAAATATGACGTTATAACTTTGATACCTTTGTTCGACAAAGGTTTTAAATATTTGTAAAACAGACTTTTAAAAATAAAATAAATGTAGTGTTGCCAGGTTGTCCATAGCTTAGCAATTTCTATCTCGGCAACTGAAAACGACAGTCGCCAGTCAATAGCACTATGTTGAAGTTCTTTGCAAACAACGTGTATCCCATTTGCAACAATATTTTTGATGGTTGCTTGCTCCGGCCAGAGTCTTTCTCTTTTTGGCCACTCTGCTGCAACTTCCGGCCAGAAATTACATTTTAAACAAAAAACAAAGTCAATAGAGATTTTTGATACATTTTTTTCTGAAAAATTTAACAACTCGTTATTGTTGTATTTAGGATCTTCTGCTTCTTTCTGGGCAAAACTTACAATGTTCATAAAAAGTAACTCCTGCTCTAAGAATGTATTTAAGCAGATGATATATTGTTGGCTTTTTACATTAGTTTCAAAATCAAGCAATGCCTGTTCAGCTTCATCTAAATTTGGGTAATTTAAATGTTTATTTAACTTTGATAAATGATTTTCAAAGTTTTGACTTATATTAGTTCGCATACTCTCAATCACTTCGTTTGTTTTAAATCCCATACATTGCCTTAAAGTATAACCTATAGTTTCTTGGCGATGATCACACAAAGTATCTGTTAAACATAAACATTGGTTTAAATATTCAATTGCTAAATTTATTTGTTCAACTTTCGTCTTTCCATACAATCTTGATTCTAAAAAACTGTGTTGAACCTGTATTAGCGTTTGTAACATACTTTTGGCTTTTTGCTCAAACTCTACAGAATTATTAACTACTTTATTAATAACATGTTTCGCAGTTTCTTGAGGATTGCTTTCACGTTCGCCTTTGAATTCGCGGTCATTTGAAAATATTATATTTAAAGTACCGGCGGCGTCTTTTGATTTCCAGTCGGGATGATCTGTGCAAGGTGTATAACCTCCAAGGTGTTTTAACAAATAAGGAAACTTATCAAAGGAATCTTTTGCGTCAGACTTTAGAACATTGCTGCTAAAATATTGTTTAGAATTCTCATTATTGCAGATAAAAAATTTATGAAATTTTTCTCCACATGTTCCTTCACATTCATTGATTACGTCGGAGTCCATTTCCAACAAAATATGAACAAACATAGGATTACTCTTTTCGCACTGCTCTAAACACATTCTATTAATTTGTGCAACCTGATACATTATGTCCAACTCTATTTCATTTTGATTGTCTTGAAAAAACAGTCGTGCCAAGTTGGCACCTTCAACATTACTACCACTAGCTAATATTTCAACTTCATTGCTTAAAAATGGTTCGTTTAAATCTTGGGTTGAAGCATTCACATACGCAGAAGCAACAGTTGACAATTTGGTTTCTTGCAACTTTGTAAGTTTTTTGATTTCAGGTAATGCTTTGCTTAAGATAGGTGAATCATTTAAAGCAGTTTCTATAATTATTTTACCTTCTACATTACTAATAGATTTATCTAAACCTTGGCTTGAAACATTCGATGTTACCGTTGGCAAGTTTGTTTCATGTAAAGTTGTGACGTTTTTTGAATGATTAGTTTTAATTTTAGAGAAAAATGATTGGTTTATTGCAGAAATAATTTCACCTTCGACATTACTACCACTAGCTAATACTTCAACTTCATTGCTTAAAAATGGTTCGTTTAAATCTTGGGTTGAAGCATTTACATACGCAGAAGCAACAGTTGACAATTTGGTTTCTTGCAACTTTGTAACTTTCTCAATTTCAGGTAATGCTTTGCTTGAGATAGGTGAATTATTTAAAGCAGTTTCTATAATTATTTTACCTTCTACATTACTAATAGATTTATCTAAACCTTGGCTTGAAACATTCAATGTTACCGTTGGCAAGTTTGTTTCATGTAAAGTTGTGACGTTTTTTGAATGATTGGTTTTAATTTTAGAGAAAGATGATTGGTTTATTGCAGAAATAATGCTATTTAATTCTGAACTTTTAATATCTGAAGTTGATTTGATAAGTGAAACTACTATCGTGTTGGTTATACTTGTCCATGCCAAACGATATTCTTGGAGTTTTTCTGGCGAAACATGCTTTTGAAATAATTGAACTACAACATCCATTAATTAAAGTTAACTTTTTATTTTGCTAAACTGAAATTTTGCAACATATTACTTAACAAAAACAAACTTAAAAAAATAATAGCAAAATACTCGCTATAAAACAATAATGGTTTTGTTTTTATCTTTATTAAAATTAAAAATTTAAAAGCTTTTTATAAAATCCATCACTAGTTTTTATGGCTCGTTTGAACACAAAATGTTGGTAAAAATTTTGGGATTGAATTATATAGTGCTTTTTGTTAGATGGATGAACTATAAACGCAAATTCATCTCTGATAAATATATTCATCAGATAATATATTTATCAGGTAATACATTTTTGTTTTGTTTTTGCCATATTGCAATATTGCAATATAACAATTAACAAAACATACAAAATGAGAGAAAAACGCGCTTATTCAAATTTCAATAAGTTTTTTTTTTGCATTATGTTAAATGTAACCTTTGCCTCGGTTTTACTAAATAAAGATGTACAAAAAAAGATATACAAAAAAAGATATGCAAAAAAAGATATACACAAAAAGTTTTGGACTACACTCTTATATGCATGTAGATATTAAAAACAAATTTAATTTATTAAGCCTAATCTGTAAATAAAGCTACAAACTTACAAAAAAATCATTGACATTAAGATTAAATAGCTAATGTGCTTGCATGCAAGTTCAGGTGTCCCAAAAAACAAAATTAAAAAAAAATTTATGCCCTTAATTTGTTCTTTATAATAAAAAAAGCATCAAATTAAAAAAACTTTTAAATAAAAAATATTTTCAGGGTTCTCATATTAAATTCCTAATATTATCAAAAAAAAGTTTTTTTAAAATTTCATGATGGGTCTCAAATGAAATGAAATTATATTAAAACTTCAGAAATAATTATCATTTTATTACGAAAATATTGAGAAAAAAATTTTAAGTAAAAAACTTTGCAAAATGCATATTTTTCATTTTTAATTATAAACAAGTCATTTTGTATGCATAAAATCTAAAACATTTTTTTTATAAAATGATGATTGTTTTTAAAGTTTTTCTATAATTTCGCTTTATTTGAGACCCAACATGACATGCTTAAAAAATTTTTTTTTTGATAATGTGATAGACTTGTTTGATGTTTAAGTGTCTTGTGGCACCCCTAAAAATGCTTTTTTCAAAAATTTTATAATTCCACTGCTTTTTAATAATACAGAAAACATTAAAAGGGTGGTAGCATAGATTTTTAAAAAGTTTTGTTTTTTGGGATACCGTAATGAACATAAGGGTTAAAGCATTTTTACAACATAAAAACCCTGTAAAATAGCTTGAAATGTATGCATTTGAAAGATGAAATGAAATGCTATTTCTATATATATATTTAGAAAAAACTACCTTATAAACAATAAATATGCATTCAATGTCAAGTCAGCAGAAAAATAAAAAAATATTTAATGTTTTAAGATTTATTAAAACTAGAAAGTTGGAACCACAAACTTTTTGCAGTTGTTGAGATATTCAGATTTCAAAAATAAATAATCCAAAATTATAAGTTTTAACCTTTGTTCCATATTAAACCCATCTCTGTTATTAGATAAACATTTTGAAAATAAAATTTATAAAGTTGTTTGGGGCATTTATCCAAGACACAGGGCCAACGACACGGACTCCAAAGTGGAGGGGGCGCTATTTTTTATATTCAGAAATTTTTTTTAAAAAATCCTTTAGAAAAAAGGCGTGTGTAGGTGGGGAGGGGGTGTGTGGCAACAACCTGGCCCCTCTCCCCCGGTGTTGTTGGCTCTATAGATATGCTTACAAGATATACGGCATTTATTATTTATCAACGAATGAAACCAACTTCAACTTATAGCAAAACCATAAAATTGCTCAAAATGACTTAAGCATAAATTAACAAACTCAAGAACAAGTTAACTGTCTAATAAGCTTGGAGAATCGAGTAAAAGAAATTACTGGAGTACAAATGAATCCACACCGAATATAATTTAAAAAAAATGCTTGCCATATAGGAAGCAATATTATAATTAATAATATATGCATAAATTTCAAAAATTATTTCTTTATAAATAATCATACAAAAACGAGGAGAAACAATAATCTCCAATTTTATCTAACCAAAGTAGTTTAAACAAGTCCCAGTTAGAGCTTTCACTACAAACGACCAATTTTAGAATTTTGTTCTCTAGTTCGGTTGCCAAACTAAACTAGTTTGATTAAACCAGTTAAAAGTTTACGAAAACGAAAGTTTACAAAAAAAAAATTAGGAACCTTAGAAATTTGTCCTATCATAGTAGACTACAGTTGCTTGGTTTGGAGTCACTCGAAGATTGGTGCTTTAAATGAAGAAGATTGGTGCTTTAAAAATGACATAGTAAATTCTTTAAAAAATTTTCGTAAACTTATTTGTAGAAATCAATAGCCACACCCGAGTTCATATTTATAAAATACGCAAATAAATTTTGTTGCTTGGATTTAAGAAAATACAGGTTTTTTACCGAGTTGTTTACACGTGGAAAAATATGACCTCGGAAGGTGTAAATGAAAACAATGTTTTAACGTTTAAAAATAAAATTAAGTATTTACATTTTAACAAATACTTTTATAAAAGGAACAACAATATGTTTCTTTATAATTTTGTTATTGGTTTCGCGATGACATTTTATTTTTTTAAATTTATTTATTGGCACGCGGTTATTGCTTATCTTTGTCCGTTTGAACATGTATTTTATTTTCTAATAAAAATCAATCAATCAATTATTCAATCAGTCAATCAACCAAAGTTTTAACCTGCAAGTCAAACTTGAATTTTCAAAACGATTATTTTTTTATATGGATGCTATGAGTTATAACAATAATCCTCCAATTATGATAAAAAATTTAAATAATAAGAAATTAAAGTTTCGTTAAAATATGCATTTTTAATAAGACATAAATTGTTTTGTATATTTTGTGGTTTTGTATTTATACTTTAAACTTTTAATAACTTTTTTTTCTTATTACTACAGGACGCACATTGATAGCAGTTTGTAACTAAAGTGTATATATATATATATTTTTGATGTATTTTCTGTGTATATATTTTATAATAATAGTAACAATAATAATAATAATTATTTTTTTAAGAATAAAAACCAAATTAGGCTTTAATCCAAGTGCAGTAATGATACTTTGTTTTTTATAAACACTGCCTCACTATAAATTTCTCAAAATAATTTTATTACTTCTGTTTAGATTTCATAATGCTGCAAATAATAATTTTTCTGTTATTGTTATATATTTACTTTAAGTGAATATGTTGTTTTTCCAGACTGTTGTGGACCATTGATTTAAAATCAATTCAAAAATACAATGCAATCTTTAGTTTATGAGTTTTTGAGTAAAATATGGAGACCCTTAGTTTTTGAGTAAAATATAGAGATACGTTTAAAAACATCAAAAGGCGTATTTCGGAACAAGAAAGTTTAAAAACAAATTTTTTTTTATGAAACTCAATAAATTATCGTGTTTTTAATGAATAGCCTTTAGTATTTATTAATAACCTGATAAAATTTTTTTTTTCATTAAACAATCTAAACATTATAGTAGTATTTAATAGTCTAAAATATGGCAAAATGTTTAAATACAATTTTATTATAATTAAACATTCATTTTATTTTATGTGCTTGTTACTTCGCAATGGAGAGTTTATAAATAATTTGTACACAGCTTTTGCACATTATTTTTATCTTTTTTTTATGTAATTTTTAGTTCAATCTACATGACTTCTTTCTCATCTCAGGTAAGTATATAAACTGTATCTTTTCAAAAAAAATTTATAGATTCCACTGAATGAAGGAGTATTTTTTGTTTTTTTATTAATCCTGTTTTATATATCAGTATATGTATTTATATTTTTACATTTTAATATCAACAAGTTTCCTTTTCTTTTTGTATCTCTTTTATGTGTTTTTTTTTTATTCCTAAGTTTTTCATTCATTCAACATACATTTTTAATTGAGATTTTTTCTTGAGAGAGATTTCAGCATGAAGGTTTATTTTTTTTCAGCTTTTGACTTATGTATATTGCAACCTGTTTTATTTGAAATTTAATTTTAATTATATATAAGATCTCCATTTAGATTGCTAAAATAATCATTTTGATATTAATGTTCATAAAGCAGTTCCTTTATGTGAGCTGCCTCATGTTCTGTATCAATATTTTACCATTCGTATTTAAAAGCTTTTTTTTTATCTAATTGGATACAACGCTAATACTTTTGTTAATGAAATGAAATATATTTGATAATATGATTTATTAATAAATGAAATATATGTGATAATTTATTTGACATATTAAAGATAAAAATAATTTTAAGAATGTAATATCTTTTCATTTTAGGATACGTGATATCATCAATGCCACATTCAACATTCTTCTCATCTAAACAAAAATTAAAGAAAAACAAGGGAGATTTTTTTTTTTAATAGTTTGGCGAAAAAAGTACACTTTAATAAATAATATATATATATATATATATGTATATATATATATAATATATATATATATATATATATATATATATATATATATATATATATATATATATATATATATATATATATATATATATATATATATATACTTTTACAATAAAGATGACGATTCAGTGTCCTCTCAGTCTGTCAATATTTTTTTACCTTTAAAATACTGTATTGAAGCCCTTTCTAATGATATATAACATTTTATATATCATTAAAAAGGGCTTTAATACAGTATTTTAAAGGTAAAAGAACTTACTGAAATTGAAAAATTCTGCAAAATGTTATGAGGTCTGGAGGTATCAAGTCAGACTGAGAGGGCACTGAACCATCACCTATATCGGAAAATTATACATATTTCTTTCATTGAAGTGTGCTTTTTTAGCAAAAGGTAATTTTTTGCCAAAAGATTTTTTTATAAAAAAATCTAACTTTAAATAAATTTAAAATTTTCAATCCACATATCTAAATTTTTGCATACTGCTTGGTAAACTAATTGTGAAAAACATATTCAAAACCTTGTGT